GAAGAGGACTAATAGTATTGCAAGTTAAGCATTGAACTGTTAACAGAAAGTTCTGTCATTCAGGACAAAGATGAAGCACTCTGCTTCTGGAATGATTTACAGCCTTGCAAAATTGGAGCTGAGTCCTGTGCTCTCCTGCAGAGTGACAATGAGTCAGAGTTCGCTCTAGTGCGCCCTGCCCTGCACGTGGAGCACGTACAAGGAGTAACATCTGGGCAGCAGCCACCTCTGGCTAAAGAGACAGGCTCTCCTTCTGAATGAAACTTGGATGAGGTTCAAGGTCTAGCAGCTTGGTGAAGAGAAGAGGAAATAGATGTCAAAGGAGTGGGATGGGTTGTGCCAGGGTGAAACGTCTCTCCCTCAGGGGGAAGCAGCATCCTCTAGAACTGATTTCCTTTCCTGCTTCACAGGACTCTGGGGATGTGAGCCATGGAAACATCACCAATCAGGAATTCTTTCAGGCCACAGTGCAGCACTCATTTGTTAATGCTGTTGTTTTTTGTGAAGTCAGAATCCACCTATAGCTCACCCTCCATTGGGCTTTCAGAGGCAGTAAAGTGCACAGGAGGAGATTGCCCGTCTCGCTGAAGCAGCTGGTAGATCACCAGTTTGGAGCCCCAGCAAGTGGAGAGTTTGAGACTGGTTCCAATTCCGCCTCTCTGACTGTGGTCCCACACCAGCCGTGTGGGGTACAGTACGTGGCTTCACGTTTCTGAGCCGCTGTCTTCATTTCGCAAATGAAATCAACAGGGTCTAATGTGCAGGGTGCGGTGGGCACGGAACAAGGGAGAGCTTTGTAGATTGAGCCAGACAACACAAACTTCTCCTCCTCACAGCTCATTCCTGAATTTCCTCTCCAGTGTCTGGAATCTCCAGCTGCATCTTCCTGAATTCAAAACATCCGGTGCATTCTGGCACCAAGTCTGGTCCCCAGCTGCAGAAAGTCCCAGCCCTGTGTCCCAGTTGGGAGGTGGAGGCTCTGGGTCCTTATTCATGCCATTCCTCCTTACTTGCCTGGGCCTCCCTTCCACCACCAGCAAGCACATCTCTGCACCATGATAGGCTTTTTCCACAGTTCCCAGTGATCATATCCATCTCCTAAAAATAGACTCATTTTGATTGGTTTATTTATTGCTTAAAATATGGAAAATATGAAATGTAAGCCAAGGAATAAAAATAACCCATATTCCTACCACCTGGAAATAATTATTGTAAATATTTGGCTATCATTTTCTTTCAGCACTCTGGGCATTTCTGTCCCATACATTAGTAATCACGACTATCAGGAGTTACACTGCTAATCCTCCCGGGCCAGTTGAACTCACCAGCAGCTCCTCAGGAGAGGAGGAGATAGGAGATTGATTCCCCAGAGATGTCTGCATTTCTTTGTGTGTGTACCATCAGATCAGATCTGACTGGTACAGGAGGAGATTGTCCTCCTTCGCCAGCACAGCATCTAGTGGATTTGAACTGCAAGCCTCTGGGATTGCAGTGCAGCTTCTTGCCACTAGGACACCAGAGCTCCCAATGTCTGCATTTCTTGCAGCCAGAGTCTAAGTACAGTTGTGCCCACTCTCACATCCTGGACTGGATGTTCCTCTGCTGAAGGTCTCATGAGGCTTTAAAAAGTCCATCCATGGCTCTGCACTGCCCTGGAGTGAGCTGAGGCTGGAAGAAGCCCAAATGAGAGACCCATTTCCATCCCTTATCCCTGCACTCCCATTCTCCTTCTGGCTGGATTTGTTCTTTTGTAAAACGAGTGTTGCAATGACTAATGCCCGCCTCTCTCAACTTTTCTGTGTATCAAATGTACAAAACGAAGCAAACCGCTTCAAGAAAGAGAGCTATACAAAAAAGCGAAGCAAACTGCTTCAAGAAAGAGAGCTACAAAATTGGACATGGCTAAGGGTGGGATTACCTGGGCCGCAATGCAGACTCTGCAACTACCAGCTGTTAGATTTTGGGCAAGTAACTCAGATTCTCTGCATTTCAGTCAAATGGGGAATAATAGTAATGCAGTCTTTGGGTTTTGGGGAAGAAGCATGTAATGAATAGAGCTACTGACTGAAAGGTTGTTGTTGTGTGTGCCACTGAGTCAGAACCTAATTGTAGTTAATCCTTTAGCAGGTTTTCAGAGGCTGTAAGTTTCACAGGAGGAGATTTTCATGTGGAGCAGCTGCTGATTCAAACTGCCTGCCTTTGGGTTAGCAGTGCAATTCCTTACCCACTAGGCCACCAGAGCTCCCAAACTGAAAGGTAGGCGTTGTTAATCTACCGGTTACTCTGAAACCAATGAAGGGTCGCTGAGTCAGAAGAGATTCTATGACAGTGGGTAGTGGGTAAGATTTATTTATCCTATCTTCTCAGTGGGCTACATGGCAAATAGAGAGCCAGACTCGTTGTTTCCTAGAATTAAGAAGATGCATCTTTGCTATTCAGAATCAAGCTTTTGGTTAATTCTGGGAATGCACGTGGTGGTTACAGCAAGCATGACTTTCAGTGCTATAAGCTATGTCTATTGCTGAAATTCACTTCTCTGGTCTTGATCATCTTTTCAAACTAGGTTCTGGGGGAAATTAGCTTCACTGTGGAGTTCTTGGGAGAGTGGAATGAAGGGGATCTTAGATCTCCATCTTTGCATTGACTAGAGTCAGCATTCTCTCTATCACTCTCCTTCTTTTGCTGGCATCCTATTCTAAGAGCCTATTTGAAAAAAGAGTTGAACAACCCAGGAAAGGGAGGAGGCTCCTGGATTAGAAGACTTCAGAATTTCCCACAGCAGTAAAACAGATATTTTCAAGGGGCCATTTTTAAATGCCAGAGAATTGTTAAGCAAAGTGTGTGTGTGTGTGTGTGTGTGTGTGTGTGTGTGTGTGATTTGAACTTTTCCTTGGCTGTGTGCCTGCTGTTGTTTCTTCTTATGTACAAGCTACTATGTATCCAATTGACTCTGATTCCTAGTGACCCTACCATTGATCCAAACCTTTCTCCTTCCTGTACCCTATTCACAATCTGTTGTGCTCTTTGACAATTGGATAAGTGGCATGCCAGGTGATTGAAAAATAGGCTGTTCCCCACCCTCCAACTACCCACAGTGCTTTTTTTTTAAATTTTATACTGATTTATTTACAAAGTTCTAATACATTGTTTTCCACACCAGATCTTTTCAATTTCCTTCACACCCCCTCCATCAAATTGTGCGATCCTGTGATTCACACACACACACACACACACACACACACACACACGCCCGTCCTCACCCCTCTGCTTCCACCCTCTCCACCCTTGGATACTCATACTCATTCTACAATAATGGTTTTATACATTTAAACATTTATTTGTCCTTAGGAAACTGAGTTCACTCAGCATAATGTTCTCCAGTCCCTCCCAAGTTATGTAGTAATTTACAAAATCATTGTGCCTGCGTGTTGCATAATGTGAATGTATCATAATTCCTCAATCCATTCGATTGTGGTTGGACATCTGGGCTGATTCCATGTTCTTGCCATGGTGAACAATGTTGCTATGAACACTGGTGCACAAGGCTCTGTTTGAGCCTCAGTTCTTATTTTCTCGGGGCTATCCACAGTTCTTAAGTAATATCAAACAAACAAGCAAAAGAAACAAGCAGAATCCATCACCCCGTGCATTTCAGGGACATGGAAAGCACCTCTCTTGTTGAGTCCACCAGACGAAAGGCTCTTTAGTGGGGGTTTCTCATTCCTAACATGCCATCCTTGTAGCAAAGACTGAAAGCCTTTGTACTTTATTTATTTTACAATTGACGTTCACTTTAAAGCCTTCGCCTTTTCAACTACTTGCTGGCATCTGAAGGTTGGACACTGAATAAGGATGACAGAAGAATCGATGCTTTTGAGCTGTGGTGGTGAAGAAGAGCGCAGAATATTCATGGGCGGCCGAGAGAACAAACAGATGTGTCTTGGAAAAAGTGCAGCCAGAGTGTGCCTTAGAGGCAAGGATGGCGAAGCTTTGTCTCATGTACTTTGGGCATATTGTCAGGAGTGACTTTTGTTGTTGTTGTGTATCGTCGAGTGGGAATCGATCCATTGCTGACCCTCCAGCGAGTTTTCAGAGGCAGTAAATCTCACGGGAGGAGATTGTCCATCCTTCTCCCGCAGAAGAACTGGTGGATTCGAACCGCATGCCTTTAGATACAGTAAAGTTTCTTGCCATTATGCCACCAAAGCTCTCCTAGGAGAGGCTGTTGTTGTTGTTGTGTGCTGCCAAGTGGGAACCCACCCATAGCTAAACCTCCAGCAGGTTTTCAGAGGCAGTTTAATTACATGGGAGGAGACTGCTGATCCTTCTCCCTCGGAGCACGTGGTGGATTCGAAGCGCAAGCCTGCTGGATTGCAGAGCAGCTTTTTACCACTAGGCCCCAGGGCTAGTTCTTGGAAAAAAAGACATCATGTTTGGAAAGGTGGAGGGTCAGCAAAAGAGAGAATGACCCCCAATGAGGTGGATTGACTGTAGCAATGGGCTCAAGTATCAGAGATGGCGAGGACGGCACAGGACAGGGCAAGGTTCAGAGGGTGGCTATAAGCCGGACTTGACTCGCTAGTACTTAAGACATCTCCCCAGTAGGAAATTGTTACAAACACCAAAGGAAACAACTGTAGATGTTGGGGGGCGGAGGGTGGTTTAGAGGCCCGTGTTCCAGTGCGCAAGACCCCATGAGTAGATGTTATTATGGACCCTGCTTGCAGCTGAGAAAACGGAGGCTCACCGCTGCTGATTCTGCAGTCTGCGCAGACGTTGGGATATGGATCTGTGGTGGCCTCCCCCTCCTTTCCGTCTTCGTCTTTGTCCTATTCATGAAACTCTCGGGGACAGTAGGGCAGTGGGCTGGCCTGGCGGAAGGACCCGGAGGCGCAGGGACTGGTCAGGCAGCTGTCCCCATTGGCCCGGGCCTGGTGGAGCGAACATCTGCAAGAAAACCCTTCCCCCGGGGGCGGGAGCAGCGGGCCGGCGGCGTGGCACCGCCCCCGGGGCGGGCCCAGTGCTTGGCAGCGGGTTCCCCCGCCGCGTCGCGAACTTTCTGTGCCTGAGCTCCGTGATCCGTGCCTGGCCGGCCGATCCCCCAGGACCCCGCCATGCGGCTCCTGCTGCTCCTGGCCCCGCTGGGCTGGCTGCTCCTGGCCGCAGCGAAGGGCGACGCCCAGCCGGAGGGTGAGGGTCGGGCTGGGCGCGGGCGGCCGGGTGGGGCCCCCTCGGAGCACCGATCACCGATCACCGTGCTCTGTCCTTGTGAGGCTGCGGGCTCGGGAGGAGGTCTGGGTTCTGGCCTCTTGGTCACTTACTTACATAGGCCCTGGGCAAATCACTTCCCTTCTTTGGGCTGTGGTTCTCCCCCTTCCCCCCGTTACTCTTACTGGCAAAAGGAGGGAGTTGAAAGGGTGGCCGCTAAGTGTCCCATTCATCAGCGCTGAGAGGACCAGATAATACTACTCCCGGCAGTGGTTACACTTTATAGACTGTGAGCCAGTCATTGCTGGGCACAGCATGCTGGCAGCCCGCTCTAAACAACCCGAGGAAGAGTAGGTGCTCCGATCATCCCCATTTCCCAGCTAGATAAACTGAGGCTTCAGAGTTGATCCACTTGCCCAAGGCCATACAGCTTGTGTGCCCTGGAACCAGAAATTGATACTCAAGTGTGTCTAGTGTGAGACCCCTTGGGCCTAACTGAGGGGCTGCCTTGGGGGTGCATGGGGGCTGAAGTGAAGGGGGTGGTTTCTGTTCCGAGAGTGGTTTGAGTCCATGCTCTTTGAGGTCTGCTCAGCTCTCCCCACTCTGCCCCTCCTCTCCAGGTGAGTATTGCATATGAGGAAACTGAGGTCTGGCAGGGTGAAGCAACTGCCTAGGGATGACCAGCCTGTGGAGGCTGGTCTGAGACCTCTGTATTTCCATCCAGTGCCCCTTCCCCTGGCAGACTGGATCTTTAAGTGTCCTTTACTCTTCCATTACTCCTCTCCAGCCCTCCCTGACTGTCTCCAGAGTTACCTGGTGAGCACCTGACAGCTTCCAAAAGTACGCAGACCCAGACCAAGCAAAGCATCCTCAATGCCAAACTAGCCCCTTTCCCTGTTGTCTCCTCTCCTGGGCCACGTCCCTACCTCCTGGAGAACATGGAAGTTCTGACTAGGGATGGGGCCTGGATAATGGAGAGGGATGAGATCTACCATTTCTTGAAAACCTCCTTTATACCAGATTGTGCCCAAAGCCATGTGATATTTAGTGGCAAATCCAGAGGGTGCTTGGTCCGTGTGGGCTTGGTGGTCTTGTCTGCACAGTGAGGGTAGGTGCTCCTTCACTCCACAAGCTATTACAAGGATTTTATGGGATGGGCCTGTTGGCGAGGGATCATCTCAGTGCCTGGCCAGGAAAGACCCTCAACAAAGGGCATTTTCACCCCTTGCCCATCACAACCAGCTGGGCAGTGTGACAGGTGGGAAAATTCAAGGAGGAGAGGAGGGAAGGACTGGACACAGGGCTGGGCTTAGGGCATGTGCCCAGGCAGGGGCTCTTGGCCTGGTTCAGTTGCTGGCTGGGAGCGAGGAGTCCCACTATAGCCTCTTCCTGGCCTCTCTTTCCTCTGCACCTGCTATCATGGGCTCTGTCTGCCCCAGACCATTCCAGGAGAGAATTTGTTTCCAGCCATCTACACCGAAACTCAGAGAGATGAGGCAGGGAAGGACCAAATCAATGGCCAAACCAGGGCTTCAGGAACTCTGACCACTGGCAGGTGATATGAGGGGCAAAGGAGACACAAGGTGGCCCCATGGGGGTGAAAGTAGGATTTAGGGTGTTGGCTGAGATGTCTGACAAAGCACTGGACCTGATATAAGCTGAGGCAGGACGCACACCTTCTCCATCAGTGGATTACAGTGCTGGGCCCTGGGTCCTGGGAATCTCCACTGATGACTTCCATTCAAGTCTGAGGGTGGGGGCAGGTAGGATGGACTACTCTCACATCCCCAGAGAGGGACAGTGGTCTTCCAGCGTGGGACTACTGTCACATCACTCTCAAGTGTTTTGCTTTTCTTGCCGCATTTAGACCCTTTGATAAGGAAGAAATAATTAGCCCCATTTTGTAGATAGAGAAACTGAGGCCCCAAAAGGTTGAGCAGCTGGTTTCAGGCTGCCACAGCTGGAAGAAGAGTTGCTGATGGACTGGCTACTCATTCCCACTGGCCCCCACCCTCTGAGTGGGGAGGCTCTTACTTGGAAATACTGCTGGGGGACGGGGAGTCTGCCAAACTCCCCCAGACCCAGTCGAAGTAGGCCCCTCAGCTGCCTGGACAAGAGGACAAAATGGGAACATTACGGGGAGGCCAGCTCCTCCTTCCCTGGCTGAGCTGGGACCCCTGGGGTAGTACCAAGCCCTGGGATGGGGCAGTGGCTGATACTCTGTTGGGACAGGCCCAGCCATGTGTCTTGTCTGTAACCCTCCCCTCTGCCCTACACACACACAGGGGGGCCTGAGCTGGGAAAGCGAGTTAGTTGTGGCGTCTTGGGAGTTGTGTGTGGCGCGGGATCCCTGGGCAGCTTGCCGGCCCCCTTGGCTGAGTGCCTGTGGGCTCTGGGTGTGGAGTTTAGAATTTAATTTTCTCTTTTAGGGAGCTCCCAGGCTGAGGCAGGATACACAACTTCTCCCTCAGTGGGTTCAAGGGCTGGACCCTGACTTCTGGGAATCCCCATTTGTCGCTTCTGTTCAAGTCTGAGGGTGGGGGGCAGGTGGGACGGATTATTCTCACCTCCCCAGAGAACACAATGGGTGGTGACCATGCCTTGAGATCCAGGCTGAGTGTTCTGGGGACTGCCTCCTCCCCTTCCTGGGCTGGAGCTGAGTCTTGGGGAAGGGGCTGTGGGGGTTGGGGGTGAGGGGTGGCTGAATCAGGCTTGAGTTTTCAAGCTTCTCCTCAGGATCCCAGAAGTCCTTTTACCTCAGGGGCCCCTGTCTCCCAGGAACCTCCTCACCTGGCCTGTACCCCTCTTCTCAAACTCATTGCTGTTGAGTCTGAACTAATTCATACCTGACCCTCCACTGGGTTAACAAGGCTGCGAATTTCATGGAAGGACATTACCCATCCTCCCTCTAGATCCCTTGAATGGTGTCTTCACATCAGCCTGTTTTCCATGCCCGACCCCAGGGCAGCGCCCACCCATGCATGATTCCTTCTCTTGGTGGCGGGATTACCTGTGAGAAGAACCCGTATGAGCCACCAGAGCTGAGCTCTGTGCTGAGCAACTTCTGTGTGTCACCTCAATCCTTACAAGAATCCTCTTAAAAAGTATATTATAAGTATTCATAGTATTCCTATTTTACAGATGAGGAAAATGAGGCGTAGTGAGACTATCTTGCTCATCAACCTCTTTCCCTCTCATCTCTACTGTCTTGTGTTTCTCTGCTGAGCCTGGAGCCTGGCTCTGTGCCATCTGGCAAAAGCATTGCTGGACTTTGGGCAGTAGGTCCCAAGGACTGAGTGCCTGGGGCACCGTTCCCAGTGGGGCCTGGATGGAGCCCAAGGCAGGCTAAGTGGCCCAGACAGAAGGCAGATGGGCAGGGTCCTTGGAACCTGAATCCTCCACATTGACACCATCTGACTTTCTCAGGGCCTGATAGTGAGTTGGGAGGAGACTTGCGTCATGATGGGAGCTGAGTGCTCACCATGTGTTGGTCTGAGAATGCTGAATTCCATCCACGGCTTAAGGCCTTGACTTTGGGGTGCTGGACTCGTGGGCTGATTTTAACACTGATTTTAGGAGCATGGCATTTGAAATGCTACTGATTCTCTTCTTATCCTGAGGGACTGTGGTTGTGCTGGTCTTAGCTTTCGCTGACCTCATGCATTGGATTGATTGGACTGCTGTGACAGATTTATTTATTGGAGTGAAAAGTTACAAATCATACTACTTTTTCATACAATCATTTGTAGACATTTTGTTTTATGATATTATTGTGATTGATTAATTAGGGGCACTCTGCTTGTGTCATCTGCATTGAGTTGTACTACTGAGCCGTCATAGACGGCACCTCTGGTGGTTTGAATCCCCCAGGGACTCTGCAGGAGAAAGACAGCCATTCTCCTCCTGTGTGATAGACACTCTCAGAAACTCAGTGGAGGGTTAGCTACAACTCTGTTCTGACTGGGCAGCAGTGAGTGAGAGTGCTGGAGAAGAGTATTGAATATACACCATGGACTGCTGGGAGAACAAACAGGTTCGTCCCGGAGAGGGTGAAACTAGGCTGCTCCTTGGACACAAGAATTCTGAAGCTTCGTCCGACATCCTTTGGATGTGTTACAAGGAGGGACAAATCCCTGGAGAAGGGACATCATGCTTGGGAGGGTGGAGGGACAGCGCAGGAGGGGAAGACTCTTGATGAGATGGATTGATTCAGTGACTGGGGTAGTGGGAGTAGGTGTATCAGAGACAATAAGATTGGCTCAGGATAGAGCAGGGTTCAGAGCTGTTGTTCACTGTGTTGATATGAGTCTCAAGTGACTCGATGACACATTACAACAATAACAACAACAGTTGGCCCTTACTGTATGTTGCCTTTCCCTTTACCCATTATAGCTGCTTATTAATTTTTCCTCATTCTTTTTACTCTTCCAAGATTGATTCTTTGTGTAACCCTTTTCTTAGATTTTTGTGATAATGGTCTTACGCCATAACTGTCTTTTTGTGCCTGACTTATCTCATAAAACATAATTTGTCTAAGATTCATCCATGGAGTATTTTATGAATTCTTGATAGTTTTTTATGTGATGCATGGTACTCCAGCATGTGAATGTACTACACTTTCTTTAACCATTTCTTTTGATGGACAGGACACTTGGGTTATTTCCGCCTATTTAAATAATGCTGCAATTAACATGTTGACGCAAATGACGGCAAATGTGTTTCTAAGCACGGTCGTCAATTTAAAGTGTGTGGCAACGTGTTAATATGGGTGTGTGCATGTTACTTTGTGTCTCTGCTTTTCTTTCTTTAGGATGTATACCTAGTTAATCGTGGGATAGCGGGATCAAATGATATTTCTATTCTCAACTGTCTAAGGAAGTACCAAACTGCTTTCCATCTTGGTTGCACTATTTGACATTCCACTAGCAATGTATGAGAGTTCCAGTCTCTCCACACTCTCACCAGCATTTGTTGTTCACTGT